GGCACACCTCTCACGCGTTTCGTAGCCCCATAGGGAGCTCCACCGAAGGCCCCAGTGGGTGTGTTCGCATGCGGTTCCCCCACCCAGGGCAGCGTTTCGTGGCCCCATAGGGAGCTCCACCGAAGGCCCCAGTGGGGGTGTTCGCATGCGGTTCCCCCACCCAGGGCAGCGTTTCGTAGCCCCATAGGGAGCTCCACCGAAGGCCCCAGTGGGGGTGTTCGCATGCGGTTCCCCCACCCAGGGCAGCGTCCGTGGCCCCATAGGGAGCTCCACCGAAGGCCCCAGTGGGGGTGTTCGCATGCGTTTCCCCCACCCAGGGCAGCGTTTCGTAGCCCCAGAGGGAGCTCCACCGAAGGCCCCAGTGGGGGTGCCCGCATGCGGTTCCCCCACCCAGGGCAGCGTTTCGTGGCCCCACAGGGAGTCCACCGAAGGCCCCAGTGGGGCTGCCATGCGGTTCCCCCACCCAGGGCAGCGTTTCGTAGCCCCATGGGAGCTCCACCGAAGGCCCCAGTGGGGGTGTTCGCATGCGGTTCCCCCACCCAGGGCAGCGCTTCGTGGCCCCATAGGGAGCTCCACCGAAGGCCCCAGTGGGGGTGTTCGCATGCGGTTCCCCCACCCAGGGCAGCGTTTCGTGGCCCCATAGGGAGCTCCACCGAAGGCCCCAGTGGGGGTGTTCGCATGCGGTTCCCCCACCCAGGGCAGCGTTTCGTGGCCCCATAGGGAGCTCCACCGAAGGCCCCAGTGGGGGAGTTCGCATGCGGTTCCCCCACCCAGGGCAGCGTTTCGTGGCCCCATAGGGAGCTCCACCGAAGGCCCCAGTGGGGGTGTCCACATGCGGTTCCCCCACCCAGGGCAGCGTTTCGTGGCCCCATAGGGAGCTCCACCGAAGGCCCCAGTGGGGGTGTCCACATGCGGTTCCCCCACCCAGGGCAGCGATTCGTAGCCCCATAGGGTGCTCCACCGAAGGCCCCAGTGGGGGTGTCCACATGCTGTTCCCCCACCCAGGGCAGCGTTTCGTAGCCCCATAGGGAGCTCCACCGAAGGCCCCAGTGGGGGTGTTCGCATGCGGTTCCCCCACCCAGGGCAGCGTTTCGTGGCCCCATAGGGAGCTCCACCGAAGGCCCCAGTGGGGGTGTTCGCATGCGGTTCCCCCACCCAGGGCAGCGTTTCGTGGCCCCATAGGGAGCTCCACCGAAGGCCCCAGTGGGGGTGTTCGCATGCGGTTCCCCCACCCAGGGCAGCGTTTCGTAGCCCCATAGGGAGCTCCACCGAAGGCCCCAGTGGGGGTGTTCGCATGCGGTTCCCCCACCCAGGGCAGCGTTTCGTGGCCCCATAGGGAGCTCCACCGAAGGCCCCAGTGGGGGTGTCCGCATGCGGTTCCCCCACCCAGGGCAGCGTTTCGTAGCCCCAGAGGGAGCTCCACCGAAGGCCCCAGTGGGGGTGTCCACATGCGGTTCCCCCACCCAGGGCAGCGGGCAGCGTTTCGTGGCCCCATAGGGAGCTCCACCGAAGGCCCCAGTGGGGGTGTCCACATGCGGTTCCCCCACCCAGGGCAGCGTTTCGTGGCCCCATAGGGAGCTCCACCGAAGGCCCCAGTGGGGGTGTCCACATGCGGTTCCCCCACCCAGGGCAGCGTTTCGTGGCCCCAGAGGGAGCTCCACCGAAGGCCCCAGTGGGGGTGTCCACATGCGGTTCCCCCACCCAGGGCAGCGTTTCGTGGCCCCATAGGGAGCTCCACCGAAGGCCCCAGTGGGGGTGTCCACATGCGGTTCCCCCACCCAGGGCAGCGTTTCGTAGCCCCATAGGGAGCTCCACCGAAGGCCCCAGTGGGGGTGCCACATGCGGTTCCCCCACCCAGGGCAGCGTTTCGTAGCCCCATAGGGAGCTCCACCGAAGGCCCCAGTGGGGCTGCCTGCATGCGGTTCCCCCACCCAGGGCAGCGTTTCGTAGCCCCAGAGGGAGCTCCACCGAAGGCCCCAGTGGGGGTGTTCGCATGCGTCTCCACTACCCAGAGGTAGCGCCGCCGAAAACGATATTCACACTTGCGGTATTCACAGTTGCATATGGTTGGGTCCTTCGCCAGGCTAATTTTCTGTCGTTTGCTGTTCGGATCTGGCTTCTTCTTAAGTGCTGGCGGGTGCTGGAAATGCGAGGGGAGCTTCAGCTGGCGAGCAGTCACTGGCTCTGCTTGTCCTCGAATTCGCAGCGCTTGTCCGACCTGTGTCTTCCATGGTGCAGCAACGCCATCAATTCCCAAGAAATATTTCTGCGCCTCAGTGCTGATGAGGGCGTAGTCGATGAGCGTCTCCGATGCGGTGCCTTTCTTCTCGTTCTTCGTGAAGCACGTGTAGCCGTCTCGGATGGTAGCGAAGTGTCCACCCATGACTGTCGGCCATCCTGATGCCCACAGCTTCTCTGGGCTGTGGTTGCAACCGCCCATGACGATCCACGGGTGCCTACACGAAGCCAGAAAGGCTGCAAGTGTAGTGAGCTTGCGTGCGTTCACTCCACTGAGGCTGCCGTTGCTGTCCAAATAAATGCTGATGGCCATCAAACTGAACCCCCCGAGGTGCCAGCACTTGGGTATCCAGTCGAAAAAGTTGTGCTTTGAGCTGCCCGCAGGTAAAGCCATCAGCCCAGCTGTCGAGCCCGACGCTGAGCCAGCGGTGGCCTTCTCGCGGAAGCACCCGCTCTGGTGATCGGATAATGCTCCAATGCCTGTGCCACCCTGCGAGCCGCTAGGGCTCTTTGCCGATTGTCGGGCTGGTGCAAATGAGGCTTTGTAGCCCGTGTTCTGCACCTTCCTCTCTACGTCCATCAAGTCGTGAATTCGCAAGTGGGTCTCCTGAATGGCGAAGGCATCGAAGAGCTTGTTCTCGCGTGCAGACGCGAGATATGACTCAACCTTCTTGCCCCACTCCGTGCAGTTGCCGATGAAGATTCTACGCTCGGGAGGCCTCGTGCCATCGGCCTGGTCTCCCGAGCTCGGAAGGCCCTACTCCTAGGTCCCGCTGGCCTTGGCCTGCGCGGCCTTGGCCCTGAGGGATGCCAGGAGTCTGTCCTTGTCCTCGTCCAGGTTCGCGGGGTCGAGCTGCGTAGTCGATCCCGCGGCTGCCTCGGCCTCAGGTGGTGAGGCTGATGCTGCGGCCTGGGCTGGTTGAGCTGGCTCCTGAGCTGGAGCTGCTGCTGGGGCATGCACTGCTCCTGCTTCAGCCTTCCTCTTCTTCGACGCTTGCTTATTTTCTTCACGCTGCTTGCGAACAGTCTCACGAGCTTGGCTGCGGTGGTCCTTGAGGCCTGTCATGTAGGCCTTGGCGTTGCTCTGGTAGTTCTCGAGGAGCTGCTTCTTAACCTCTGCGACCTTCTGGAGTGCCTCGGCGTCCAGGTCCTCGTCCCCCTCGTTGAGGTCCCAGTCCAGCCCGAGGTTCTCGGGCTTCTCCAGGTCGAGGTCCACGCGCTGCTGCAGGAGGTTGGCTGGCGATGTCACAGTGGATGATGAGGCCGCTGGGGCCGAGGGCTGGCCTGTCAGCTCTTGCACCTCAGCCTCCGCTTTGAGCACCGCCTCGGCCAGTTCGAACAACTCTCTCTGCTGCTGGTGGTACTTCCGCTTGGTGATCTGTGTCTCTCGGAATGCGTTCTCGTACCGCTCGTTGGCCCGCTCCAGTCTCACTGCTGCGTTCTTCAGCCGTCGAGCTGGTGTGGGCTCGTGCATCTGCTGCTGAGGCGCCAGGGTGTCCGCGACCTGGCGCAGCTCTTTGGTGGGTCCGTCCTCGATGCCGAGCGAGCCGAGAGTCTTCGCGATGTTGCGAAGGGCGAGGGCGACCTGCTTGTGCTCGCCGCTGTGTGTCGACTTCTGGTCCTGGCCGCTGTGTTTCTGCTTGAAGGCTGGCGGCCGCTTGACCGCGCAGCCACAGCCGCACTTCCAGGCCCACTTGTCGAGCTCCGTGTTGCGGGTCCACTGCTGGCATGACTTGCACTGCGTCCAGTCTTGGTGCCATGCAGGGGTACTCTTGTCGCCGCCCTTGCCCTTTCTCTTGCCGCCACCCTTGAAGTTGCCTTTGCCCATCCTGTCCGCGGTTCCTGCGTGGCGGGTACTCAGCAGAAGGTTGGCGGCGGTCACGACCTTCCTCGCCTCGTGCCTCGTGGCCCTCTCTCTGCGATGCCAGGAGGGCTCGGGCTCGGAGCGGCGCTTCGCCGTGTCGGCGACAGCCACGAGCAGGCTGTCGGCTAAGGCCGACCGCGGGCGTGCATGCGGCGCGCGCGCGCGGTCCCGGGCAAAACGCACCGCGGGGAAATGTCTCCCACGGCTCAAGCCCACGGCCTTGCCCATTGCGTGGGAGGACGACGGACAAGACGAGGAGGGGAAGGACGAGTTTCATTCCCAGCCAGGAGCTCAGGGGGGGGGGGCAAACATTAAAGACCATCTGCGGCTACCTGGGGTTGTGTTTCGTCCCGGATCCATTATCGATGGCCTCAGGGCCCACAAACGGCCCCCGAGGGCCGACATCGGGGCAAGGACGCGGGCATTGAACGAATGATGGCGTCGGAGGTCTGTGAGTGGAGGGCGACCTGCCATCGCTCGAACGCTCATTCCCCGTGTGTGCTTCGGTTTCGTGCGCTTCTTGTCCCCGCTGGGTGATCCCAGATGCCCCTGGACGGTCCAGATTTTCCGGCGCTGGCCTCGCCGAGGAATACATGCACGCGTCCGAGCGATACCGAATGGAGAAGGAGGAGGAGGACGAGCACGAGGAGGAGGAGGAGGAGGAGGAGGAGGAGGAGGTGGAGGAGGAGGAGGAGGAGGAGGAGGGGGAGGTGGAGGTGGAGGAGGAGGAGGAGGAGGAGGAGGTGGAGGAGGATGGAGGGAGGAGGAGGAGGAGGAGGAGGAGGTGGAGGAGGAGGGGGAGGAGGAGGAGGAGGAGGAGGAGGAGGAGGAGGAGGAGGGAGGGGGAGGAGGAGGGAGGAGGAGGAGGGGGAGGAGGACAAGGACGATGGGAGAAAACGTCCTGGACTGAACAGACCCACACAAGCCCGCTGGAGGTCTGGCCTGGTGGCGGCTGGCCACGGCAGCGCCAGACCGCGCTCCTCCGTCGCAGCGCCTCAAGGACCCGCCCCTTCGGGGTGCGGCGGCGCGCGCGAGGAGAGGCTACTGGGACAGGAGTGGCAGCGCGGAGTCAGGGGGAGAGGAGCAGCGAGACCCGAATAGGCGCCTTTGGCATCGCGGTCATACATAGCCGACGCGTCGAACTCTAGTGGTCGCTCTCCTCGGTGGTCGCGCTCCTTCCTCGTCTTCCTCCTCCTCCTCCTCCTCCTTCTCCTCCTCCTCCTCCTCCTCCTCCTCCTCCTCCTCTTCCTCGAACAAGAACGACTTCGCCTTTAGATGGCGTTGCAGTCTTTTCCACGCCGGGTGTTTGAATAATGCCATAGGAAACTGGGGCCTAGGGCTGCGGCTCTGATGTCTCCTCACCCCCCTTGCCACCACCCCCCTCTCAGCCGCGCCCCCCAGAAAACAGGTCCTGAAGCTCCTGGGGCCCCTCCACGGGCCCAGGCGGCGTGGCAAAAAGAGAGCTTTGTCCGGGGAGGGCGGCGACGACGACGACGAAGAGAACGACGACGAAGAGAACGACGACGACGACCATGACGAGGAGGAGGAGGATGAGGAGGAGGAGGAGGAGAAGGACGAGGACGAGGACGAGGAGGAGGAGGAGGAGGAGGAGGAGGAGACCCGCGTCCTCCCTGGCGGGATCCGAGGGCGGAGCCCTGCCCCGAGGCGGCCCCAGACAGCACGGCAGAGCACGGCACGAGCACGAGCCTTCGGAGGTCCGCGCGGACATCTTTAGAAGGTCGGCGCCGGGGCCCCCCTTCCCCCCAGACCCCCTTCCTCCTGCCCTCCTCTCCTCTCCCTCCTCCTCCTCCCTTCCCTCCTCCTCCTCCTCCGCCCTCTCCTCTCCTCCTCTCCTCCTCCTCCTCCTCCCATCTCCTCTCCTCCTCCTCCATCTCTTGCTCCTCCTCCCTCCTCCTCCTCCTCCTCCTGCTCCTCCTCTTGCTACCTCCTTCCTCCTTCCTCCTCCTGCTCATGCTCCTGCTGCTGCTGCTCCTCCTCCTCGTGCCTCTCCTCCTCCTCCTCCTCCTCACTCCTTCCTCCTCTCTCCTCCTCGCTCCTCCTCCTCCCTCCTCCTCCTTCCTCCTCCTCCTCCTCCTCCTCCTCCTCCCTCCTCCTCCTCCCCTCCTCCTCCTCCTCCTCGTGCTCCTCGTGCTTTTCGTGCTCCTCTCGTGCTTCCTCCTCCTGCTCCTTCTCCTCCTTCCTCCTCCTCCTCCTCCTCCTCCTCCTCCTCCTCCTCCTCCTCCTCCTCCTCCTCCTCCTCCTTCCCAGACCCCGTCGAGTCTGGAACACATCACGACGGGAGGTTTTCTTGCTGCTGCTGTCGGCCTCTGGGGGCCCGCACCGGGCCGCGGGACCGTCCAAGAACGACTCAGGATGAAAAGCCGGTCCCGAGGAATGGGTCGAGACCTCTGAGGGTCGACGTCACGAACAAATCATGAGTTCGGGGTTCTGGCGCGCGGTGCGCGCCGGGTGCGGGCGCCTGCAGCGCCGCCAGAGCGGCCCAGAACCTGGGCCCCCAGCAAGGTGCCACACCCAGGAGCCAAGCCGTCGATCTCGGGGCAGGTAGCGAACGAACCCTCTACAGGAAAAGGACAACTGCACCGGCGCGGGGGGGGGTGGACAGGGGCTGCTGGAATGCTTCCTGGGGACATCCAGGCCATCCACCCTGACATCCGCCGATCTGTTTTTCTCAGTCCCATGGGCCCCAGTCCGAGGAGGGGCGGGAGGAGCAGGAACAGGAGCGGCAGCGTGGCTGGGGCGGGGCGCGCGGCACTGGCCGGCTACGCGCACGAGCAGCCCTGATTCGGTAGGAGTGGCCTCCGGTGCGCGGCTCCAGGAGGGGCGCGGGGGGCCAAGCCCAAGCACGCAAGCGCGAGTGCGAGCCCTGCCCAGCATTGTCTGTTGTGGGGGGCCCTCTGGGCCCGCACCAGGCCCAGACCTCTGGCGCCGCGACCGCGTCCGTGCGTGCGCCCTGGAGCTCTTGACCCTCTTCCGCGCGGGTTGCCGGCCTTTCGTCCTGGTCCGCTTCGGCCCTGGGGCATGGAGAACAGCCCACGGACGCCGAGAACTGCGAAAACCAAACAACAAAACACCTCCGCCTTCCCTGATACCCTGGCGTCGCAACTTTTTCACAACTGGCGTCTGCGCTCAATTTCAAGGGCCCTGGGACCCTCGCGGATCGATCCGGCGCGAAGAATACGCAGAAAGATGGGGCCCGGGGCTCCGGCCGTGATTTGTTTTGCGAGGGCGCATTCTTGTCCTGCAGTGTCGGATCCCAGGGCTGCTGCGTGCCAGGCGCCAGACGCCTGGGAGCGTCACTCCGTCGAGGGGGGCCACCCTTGCGCGCCGCCGCGCGGGGGCGGACCGCGGCCCGGCCCGAAACGGGGCCGGGGGGGCCGCTCAGTTGCAGGCCATCCTGCGCTGCGCCCGCGCGCGCGGCCGCCGCCGGCCCGCGGCCGCGCTGGGCCGGGGGCCTTCGGGGGCCGAAGGCATCCGAAGCCCTTCGGGTCACCCTCGAGCTGTGCACCCTGCGCACCTTCCGCGCGGCAGGAGTCCCCGCGGCATGGCCGCGGTGGCCACCGAGGCCGCCGCTGCGGCCTCGGCGGCACCTGCCGCGCGGAAGGTGCGGAAGGTGCCGGTCAAATGCACGACCGAAGGTATATGGAGATGTTCGCCGGTTCCTTCTTGCGGCTGCGCCTCACCGAGAGCGTTCGGGGTGTGCCCTGGTCGTTCCGATCGGCCACCAAAGGCCCTGAAGTGTGGCCCGAAAGCCTGACAGCCTCGCGTCGTGAGAACATCACGACGGCTTGTTCTTTGACAACTTCTGGCTGGTGAGGGGCCTTTGCTTGCTGGGCCCGGGAGCCATGAGAAACGGCTCAGGATGAATCGGGCGGCTAGGAGGGGGGTGGGGCCTGGC